ACAACTATTGAACAACTCTACACGCTTAAAACCACAGAACAACCTTTTTAAAACCATATTAAACAAGTCTTGAACATATGAAAACTCGGAAAGCATTGGCGACAGTGTACAGTTTTTAAATTCGCCACAGAAAACTCTAAGCAAATATCTGGTCGCCTGGCAAGCTCTTAAAACACTTTGGCAGCAACCATAAAACACTCTAAATTCAAACCCCAGCGGCCACGATTCTTGGTAGTAAAAACTTCTGATCAACATCTAATACAATCCGGCCCATTTTTGTAAAGTTTTCAGGCGCGCGTATGTTTTTCGATTTCTCTGCTGCAGGTTGTTCTGGAGTTTCGGTTTCAAGTTTTTTGGGGGTTTGCGATTCCCAGATTTTGGCTTAGATATGTGTTTGCCTTTTCTCGGGTTTGAGATGTTCACCGGTGTTCGTTTAAAGATGTTCTCCAATTTCTTGGGGGTTGAGTTTCCCCTTGAAGATTGTCAGAAGATTTTACTATTGTTTTCTCGGTGGACCTCCTGTGATATAACGGACGAACCGAATTCAGGATCCTACGAAAGTTGTAAAGTTTTCGCATATCGCAGCCTGCAGGGAGGGCGAGGTCTAATTCTGATCCGAATAAAGCGCCGCCCAACTAGAACCGCCCAGGAGCCCACGGAACTCGCGACAATTTCGCAATTCGCGAGTCGTCCTGCTGAGAGGAACAAGACCTCGCCCCGCTGGACCTCCCAAGGGCCCACGGAAGTGACGACCCTTGCGCAGTTCGCAGCCCGCAGGGACGGCGAACGATCATCTGATCTGCATAAGTCTTCACTCCGCTGGGCCCAAATGTCCAACGAGAGTTGCGATCCATTTGCAGATTCTAGCCCCACCAAGGACGGCGTGATACCATCTGATTCGCATAGGACACCAGTCTGCTGGACCCCTCTCCCACGAAAACCAACATAGTGGCTCCACTTTTGCGGATCGCAACCCACCAGGATCGGCGAGCCATCATTGGATCTGCGCAAGACGTCACCACGCTGGACCAACAAGAAGTCCACGATCGTGGGGGCAAATTCATAAGCCGCAGACCCCCAGGGACGGCGAGCTACCCTCTGATTTGAATAAGACGTCACTACCCTATTCCTCCCAAAAGGCAGCGTAACTGGCGTCGGTTTTGCAGATCGCAGCCCCGACGGACGGTAAGCTACCATCAGATCTGCGCAGGACGCCACTACGCTGACCCCCCCAGGAGCCCACGAAGGTGGGAACGGTTTCTCTTATCCTGCTCACCCCAAGGGCGGCGAGCTACCATCTGACCTGCTTAGGACGATATTCGCAGGACCCCCCAAGAGCCAGTTAAATTGGCGTCCGTGTTGCACTTCCCAGCCTTCAAGCAGCGGCGAGCTACCATCTAACCTGCTTAGGACGTCACTACGTTGGGCACCCCAGGAGCCACCGAACATAGCGTCAGTTTCGCATGTCGCAGCCCCTAAGAGGCGGCGAGCTACCATCTGATCTGCTTAAGATGCCACGACGCAGGACCCCCCAGGAACCACCGAAAGCGGCGTCGGCTTTGCATGTCGAAACACCCAAGCAACGGCGAGCTACTATCTGACCTGTTTAAGACGTCGCTACGCTGGAACCCTCAGTCCCACGAGAGCAGCGACAGTTTCACACAACGCAGTCCCTCAGGGACGGCGGGCTACCATCTGATCTGCGTAGGACGCAGCTCAGCTGGGCCGTGGCGAGAATCTCACACATCGCAGCCCCCAAGGACGGCGAGCTACCGTCTGATTTAGGACGTCACTCCGATGGACTTCCCAGGAGCCTGCGATAGTGGCGACAGTGGTGCAGCTGTTAAACCCCCAGGGACGGCGAGGTCCCAGTCTGATCTGGGTACAGCGTCACTCCGCTGGGTCTCCCGGGGCCCACGAAAGTGGCGGCAGTTTCGCAATTCACATCCTCTATGGACGGCGAGGTAGGAGGGGAAATGGCGGCAGGCAGGCGGGCCGGAGGTAGGAAGCAGGAGAAGGGATACCCATGGGGGCGGGATCGGAGGAGAAGGAGGCACCAGTGCTTGAGTCAAAACGAGAGCCCAACGCAAAAGGTCTGGGACAAAATCGAATCCATTCGCTGCGTGATGCTGCCGTAAGTAGCTTCGGAGACGGAACGCATCCCGTCTTTGGCCCCTTTTCCTTGCGCCCTTCCTCCTGCTTCGTCAACGTTCTCTTCCAATTCCTCCTCTCGCCTGCTCGGGCTTCCGTACGTTTATAAATCCTGCATTTCGATGTGCCACGCTCCCCACCAATACTACAAGCCCAGCATGAGGTGTGCAGTGAGGGCTGCTTGCTCCCGAATGCACCTAAACTCGTGCTATAAGATCCAGTGCCGTGTGCTAGTCTACGCGGAGCGGCGAGAAGGAGCATTCATGTTGTCCTCACTGGTGTTTGAAAGACATACAGGCAATATACGACTTATGTTTTCCCATCGTTCTTCAGGGCCACATCCTAGAAATAATATATTCGAGCACCCAGAAAAGTGTCGAAACAGTGTCGGACGAGTGTCTCCCAGGGCTCGACACGTTGACCTCGAGTTTCGGTACTTTCTCGGTGTTCGAGCTTCTGTCTGGCGATCAAGGCTAAAGAGTAGGCTGGAACATCATAGCCTAAGAACCCGATCCCACTTGAGAAGGTGGTCCAACAGGGCCCCGCCGCGCTCCCGTCGCCAGCGCCATCCAAACCACTTCCTGAGCTGGGCGCTGGCCCTTCACCTCGGCGGCGTGCCGAGGCGGAGAGCGAGGAGGGAGGGGGGCGGCAGGGGCTTCCCAGCAGGCGGCGGAGGCTCCCAGAAGCCCTCCGGCCTCCCGAGAAGCCCCCTCCTGAGGGGACCCAGAGACACACACACACCCACACACACACACACCCACACACCCACACACCCACACACCCACACACCCACACACCCACACACCCACACACCCACACACCCACACACCCACACACCCACACACCCACACACCCACACACCCACACACCCACACACCCACCAACACCCACCAACACCCACCAACACCCACCAACACCCACCAACACCCACCAACACCCACCAACACCCACCAGCACCCACACACCCACACACCCACACACCCACACACCCACACACCCACACACCCACACACCCACACTCCCACACACCCACACACCCACACACCCACACACCCACACACCCACACACCCACACACCCACACACCCACACACCCACACACCCACACACCCACACACCCACACACCCACACACCCACACACCCACACACCCACACACCCACACACCCACACCACACCCACACCCACACCCACACCCACACCCACCCACAC